GGCTCAAGAAGAACATCTGACCACACCCATCTGTCCATGGGATTCTCCAGGCAAGAACACTGGAGTGGGCAGCCATTCCCTTCTGCAGGGGATCTTCCTGATGCAGGGATCAGACCCAGGTCTCCTGCATTGCAGGTGGATTCTTTACCGTCTAAGCCACCAGGGAAGCCCTAATTTTTTAAATTAGACTTTTTATTTTGTATTGGAATATAGCCGATTAACAACATCATGATAGCTTCCCGTGGACAACCAAGGGACTTAGCCGTACATACACATGTATCCACTCTCCCCTAAACTCCCCTCCCATCCACACTGCCACAGGACACTGGGCAGGGTTCCCTGTCTGTGCAGCAGGAATATCCTTCTAAACCAAAGATATCCTTTTAAAAAAAAGCTGTTTTTTTAAAATTCAACTGCTAATTTTATTTTTCACACTTTTAAAATTTCCTCTTACAGAGCACACAGTTAATGAAGGTTAAAATATAATGGGGCTATTTGCAACCAATTTATTAGAACATAAAAGCTAAATAAGTTCATTGAAAGTGTTCTAAGGAGAGAGTGATGGAGTCAGGTCTGATAATAGGTTTTTCTGTGAATAAGTGAAATAGTTGTAAAGCCGTGCTTGAGTGTATATTAGTGTATAGGTGACCATATTGATTCCTGGGGCATGCACAATGTATTGTCTTAAAAGTATCGAAAAATGTTGTAAGTGAAATTCTATTTTAATGTGTATTTTGTGGTTGTTGTAAATTTAGTTGTGATATTTGGATGAGGGGAGTGTTTAGCTTTAGCTTACAATAAAAGGACTTCTCAGATGGCCCAGTGGTAAAGAATCCGCCCTCCAGTGTAGGAGACACACGAGACTTGGATCGGGAAGATCCCCTGGAGTAAGAAATGGCAACCCAGTCCAGTATTCTCGCCTGGAGAATCCCATGGACAGAGGCGCCTGGAAGGCTACAGTCCACAGGGTCACCGAGTCAGACACGGCTGAGCCTCTGAGCATACACACACACACAAATTGCTATTTACTGGGTCACTAAAATAAATCACTGATTTTTGTTGATTATCACGTTCTACAGACAACAGAGTTTCCCAAAAACTTGCCGGTGTGCTTATTTACAAAGGAAACACTCTTGAAAACATCCTTCTTGTGCTCTGATTACTCGCAATGACGGTTGCCAGACTATTTACTCTTTTCAAGAGCACGTATGAAGGAAATCCATATTCCTCTAAGAACATTGTGTTGAAAAGACACAAGGTCAGTGTTTTAAACTCATATGCAATGCGAAGAAAGCAGGTACTAGTCCCAAAGTTAGTATTTTCTATATTGAAAACTATGATGATGAGAACATTAATTATAGTAACACCTCTAGATCAACCTTCAGAGATCACCAGCTTAAAGTAACTGCAAAAGCAAAGAGAAGAAATAGTATAACTTAACCATGTTGAATGTCAGAACTGAAACTACCCAGTTAATGGAGAACTAAGGCGATGACTCATATTGAACTATGTTTATATCATAATCATTTAAAGGAGATGACTTCCAGGGGACTTAAATCCATGCAGGGGTTTTAAAAACTGACTATAACAACTTTATTTCTGGTAGATCAAATTGGTAAGAGATCCAATAAAGTAAAATTTATGCCATTTAGTTTGACCAAAGAGATCATAGAAAAATAACTCTAGACTGAACTTTGTTCAACTCCTTCTTCAGGGTTAAAAAGAGAATTAATTTGCCATGAATTTTTGAGTGAATATTTAACCCCAATGATCACTCAGATTCCTCTTTCAAATAAAAGGTTTTGATGTTAAATATAATGGATTCGGGGGAATCCTATATTAAGGTAATTCATATCATCATTTTCATTTCATTAGAGTAGATTCTGGAACTCAAAATTTCATTAAGATGGACTGAGTTGGTTTTATTTCTTTTTAATATTTGATGAATTTTCTTCCTAGATTTCCTCATGACATGCAGTCATTTATTATATTTAAAATCTCATCATCTTCCTCTTTGATTTTTTCCCTCTCTTATGTTTCTCTGCAGCTGACTCCTAGCGTCAATTATTAAAAATCTACCCACCTATACCACACAATCTGAACAGTAAATTGTTCTATATGGAAGTATAGCCATCAAGCCTACTATGTATTGTGTCCTAAAAAAATATATTGTCTGCCTATCAGAAACAAGCTCACTGAAAATCAGTATTTTCAGGAAGATTTTCATGTGTTAGAATCTGATTTACAGGGTCTGCCTATGGGTTTAACATTTCATGTTGTCAATAATGAAAAAAAAAAAGAAACCAGGGGTAGGGGATTCGTGATAAAATGGGCAGCAGTTTCTACTCCTCTTAAAGAAAATATTGAAATGAGCAGAAGCACAAAACCCTTATGTCTTTGATATTGAACTTTTGATATTAAAGGAAATTTGACTCTTACCCAACAGGTTAAATTAGACTCGTAATCACATTCAGTGGTCTCAGGGAGAAGAGACCAAACCTCAAGTAATTCCTAGAAATGTTGAGAAGGAATAAGTTTTAGGTAACTTTGCATTTCAGTTCCTAGAGGAAATGTACCAGAATTTGCAAAGTAATCTAATTTATTCAATTATTTGTAGTTTTGGATGTTTTTCAACCACTACACACTGTTAAGTGCAACACTTAATGATCGCAAATGAGATTGAATTAAAATTGGTTGAGTTGAAGCAACCCAAAGGTAAATAACTATCTGGTGGTTTCAAGGACTCTCAGATCCCTTTATAGCAGGGGTCCCCAACCTCCAGGCCATGGACTGGTACCGCCTGTTGGATCAGAAGCGGCATTAGATCAGAAGTCAAGTGCTCAATAGATGAACCATCCAGAAACCATCCCCGCTCCCCCACCCACCCCTATCCTTGAAAAAAACGTCTTTCATGAAATCGGTCCCCCTTGCAAAAAATGCTGGGGACCACTGCTTTATAGAACAGCGCACTTGTAAAAGTCTAGCTATAGATTTGCAAAAATCAAGAAAATTAGCAATGTTGAAAAATAGGCCAAAATATATTCAGTCTCTGTGGAATCAGTTTTGTTTTTTAAAAGATTCTGTTTTTTTTTTTTTAATGTGGACCTTTCTTTCTTCCTTTTTTTTTTTTAACACTCTTTACTGGATTTCTTACTCTATGGTTTCTGCTTTATAGTTTGTTTGTGGTTTTCTTTGGCCATTTCATGAACCATGTGGGATCTTAGCCTCCTGACCAGGGGCAGAACCCTCACGGGCTGCACTGACAGGCCGTGAAGTCTTAACCACTGGACCACCAGGGAAGTCCCTCTGTGGAATCAGTTTTGACATTCATTGCTTTTAAGGCTTGATATTAACCTTAATTCTATTTTACAAATCCACTTGGAAGCCACTTAATTGTAATATGCAAGTTAATTTGATCAAGATATATCAATGATAATTAGTTTGAACAGAAAATATGTGATAGTTGAATACATATTTCACAATCATTAGATAGTTAATCTGAAAATAAATCTATGAACATCTCATCTCCACTTTAACAAGGAGGCCTCAACAGTCAAACGAATCCTTCAAATTACATTTATTCAGCCTAGAATCAGCGGGGCAGGAATAGCATATCTGTCTTTCTGACTCAGCTCGGTCTTAAGCTCTGTACCTTTAGCCCGGGCCAATGGTCAGCAGACGTTTCCCACTCAAGGGCCAAAGAGTGAACAGTTTCGGTTTTGTGAGTCACGTATGGTCTATGTCTCATCCACTCAACTCTGCGTCACAGCACGAAAACAGTCAGAGTCACTATGTAAGCAAATAAGCATGGCTCTGTTTCAATAAAACATTATAAATCCAGAAATTGGAATTTTATGAAATATGCAAGTGTCAGACTTCCCTAGTGGTACAATGGGTGGGAATCTGCCTGCCGATACAGGGGACGCGGGTTCAATCCCTGGTCTGGAAAGGACCACCTAACTGACTCAGAGCCATTAAGCCGGTGGGCCACAATGCTGAGCCTGAGCTCTGGAGCCCGGGAGCCGCGACTGCTGAGCACCCCAGCCGAGAGCCTGTGCTCTGCGACAAAAAAGCCACTGCAAAGACAAAGCTGTGTGCTACCATGAAGAGTGGCCTCCTGCGTGCTGCACCTAGAGAAAGCCTGTGTGCGGCAACGAAGACCCAGCACACACACACACACACACACACACACACACAAATCACGCGTCACAAACTCGGCTTTTCTTCCCTGCTATTTAAGAGCATAAAAGTATTCTTAGCTCGCAGGCTGTATAGACCATGAGCCACATCTGGTCTGGGGGCTCTGGTTTGCAGATCCCTGTTCTATGACCATGGAAAGGATGACCCTCTTGATTTAATATATTAGACAGACCCAGATTTCAGAGAAAAGCTTTATTTCCTATAGGTCTTCTAATATAAGGATAGTCTCCTAACCAGTGTGAGTCACTGCTCTGGGTCATTTTCTTGCTGCAGATAATTTCCCGTCAAAAATGTTCAAACTTATATTGTTTCTCATGAACAAAAGAAGGAGAATATACTTGGGAGAAAACTCATTTGAGAGTTGGCCATATCTGGTGCCAGAGAAGTCCCTCCATAAAAGAAATTTGGGAGAATTGCTTTTTTTTTTTTTTCCAAATGGGATTATACTTATGGAGCTACATCGTTTATGAAGCAGACTCCCGTTTCTTTTAAGACTGTTCTTACAGAAAGCAGAAGAAGAGCATCACTTGCACAGCGGACCTGTGACTCTCGGGAAGCCTAGGGCTCCCCCGGCAGTGCCCACGGCTGGGGGGTGGGAAGTGCGCACCCTCTGGGCTCTGTCTCCACCCTGGGCATCTGGCCACAAGGACCACACTCACATGGTCCTGACCTCTTCGCCTTTGGCCCCCGGGGAGTCTGTTGACCTGGCTGTTGTTGTCAGAAGAATTGGTTTTTAAAGAGAAGCGTTCCAGTGATGTTATCTCTGTGTATGTTTTCCTGGGTTGCTACTTTTATCCATTTTAATTCAGTTCATGGAGAACTTCTAAGACTGAATTCTCTTTTGAATGAATCATATTCAGAAGTTCCCAAGACCAGCTCTTTGTGATCTCTGCATATCTCGGTATCTGAGCCAGGAGACACGGTGGAGGTTTTCCTGGAGGAGTCGGGGTGCAGACAGCAGGGGAGGGGGAGACAGGGGAGGAGGAGGAGAGGGCGGCGCTGGCAGGGTAGCCCTTGAGTCTTTGCTGCAGGATCACAGGCCACGAGACGCACCCACGGCCAAGGGCACAAGTGCGACTTCGCCCATCAGTGTGACGACCGATGTCCTTGCTCTCCAGCTGATGGAAAATTCCTGGAGAAGAAACAGAAGGGAAAAAGGAATGGAGGCGGGGGGCCGGTTACGAGATCTGAGCTGAGAGGGAGAGGCCGAGCCCCCAGCCCTGCCCACTTTCTACTGGTCCCAGTAAATCCCTCACTAAAGGCTCGGTTCGCAACAGTATGCTTGCTCATCTAAAGAAGCCTCCACCGCAGGACTGGGGCAGAGGAAGCGCAGGCACCTGTCACACTACACTCTTTGAAGCATTTGCTCTCATCTATAAAGGAAATAAATATGGGATTCTCTTCCCCCCAGAGGCTTCCCTGGTGGTGCAGTGGTAAAGAACCCACCTGCCATTGCAGGAGACGTGGGTTGGATCTCTGGTCGGGAAGATCCCCTGGAGAAGGAAATGACAACCCACTCCAGTATTCTTGCCTGGGAAATCTCATGGACAGAGGAGACTGTTGGGCTACAGTATATGGTGTTGCAAAGAGTCAAACAGGCTTAGAGACTAAACAACAACAGCAGACTTTCCCCAAAATACTTTCCCCTTGTTAGAAAATTCTCTTCTTATATTTTGTAGAAAGAGGGCAAAGCGTGATTGATGGAATTATCAGAAGTAGTTTTTTTTTTTTTCAGTCACTGCTAAGACGTTTATCTGCCTATAATTCTTTCTGAACCCAAGTTCCCTGGCTATTCAAACCATCTTCTTGCCTAGCAAGTTAAGTTTGGTACAAAGCAGTTATTTTTCTAGTACTTTCAGGCAGAATCAAACCATCACAAACCAATCACCGAAGGCTGCTCCCCACAGCCTAATAGTAGAGACGATTTTCCCAGATACAGTGAGCCTTTTAGGTGCTTCGGAAAAAAACTCACCAGCAGGTACATCTTTCTGTCTAGAGATCCTTTCTAACCAGAAGGTTGTTGAGATCATCTAAAGTGAGTGAAAATAGGTCCTCTAGGGAGAAGGTTTTTCGACCAGAAGCTCTAGTTATGAGGGTTGCCATTGTTGTTCCTTTCAAGGGAGAGAATAAAAGTGTAATCACAGGAGGTCATGTGTAAATTTATGCTGTTTTTACTGGCGCTTAACCCTTTTCCTTCCAGGAATTGTTAGGCTTCTTAGCAGTCATAGATCAGTCGTTGGGTATGTTCTCACCCAGGGTGACTGGTTGACGGTAAGATCCCTCCGTTGTCCAACAGAATAGAAGTCAGGTCATGTAACTGACTCCCTGGAAATTACGTAAGAGAAATAAATACCTTGGTATTTGCACAGAAAGGAAATTATGCCATTCACTTCAAGCATGAACTCAGAGTCTCTCTCAAAATCAAGCCTGTGAGAAAAAATTTTTCTTGGTCTTAGAGGGTCTTCAGAGGAGTTAGGGGTGGATTCTTGAGTCGGAGAGACCTCCAGTTCTTACATGGCTTCAAACTGGCTGCAGGTCAGGTAGCTCCGGATGGAGATGGGGAAGCGGGTTCAGGAGACCCAAGAAAGGACAGAGCGTCCATCAGGGCCTAGGGTTCTTTCTTATTTTCTTGTCTTTTCTTTCTGTTTGTGGTTTGAAGTCATGGCCTGTAAGTCAATTCACAGAGAAGGCTTTCCCTAATGGAGAAATAATTTCGGAAATGATTTTGTTGTGGACTGGACTGTCTCATTTGCAGAAGACGGTTGATGTTTTTAGGTGATTGAACGTGTTGGTGCTTTGGCAGTGTGTTACCTTGTAGATTATGCTCTGAGAGGCAGCCTGTGGAGCTGGAACTGTGCAGAGACAAACCGAATACTTCATTAGGACAGTCAGACAATGCTAAGTGCTATGCCTTGATTACTGACTATGTTTGGGTCCCTGCCTCCAAGCTCCCTTTTTTGGTAGGATTTGAAATAATGTATGGACCATGGAGGAAAAAAAAAAAAAAAGAACCAAGACAAGCAATGCAGGAGGAAAAAAGACAGAACATAGAAAGGGATAAACTAATTTCTGTGCTTAATTCACTTAGGGAAGAGCACTGATTCATTCTGAGCCCAGGATTAAAGAGCCTTGCATAAATTTCAATTATACTGCTGGGATCTTGAAACTGGACATGGTATTGGTGACTAAGTCTTTTGTGCTAAATGATGCTTTGACCGGGCAAATGTTCAGATCACTTCTGCAAGAAAATGCAAATAGCCTTTTCCTGATTGTCTTCTCCTGTCAGAAAAATGCTTAAGATATGTATACTCAGCTACTGTCCTATGGAAATATTGAAGCTGGTTAGCCTCAGAGCTGTATAGATCGCTTTTGGAAAATACTGACACAGTTGCTATTTTCTGCTTTGAAGTTTTCATATTTTAATGCATAAGAAATATGGGTGCAATGGTGAGTAGATGCTTTCTTAAAATTGCAAACTGTAAAATATAACTGAACTCTGAACACCATGAAACAAGAATCATGACAAGTCTCTGGGAAACAGCCTCAATGCTGACTACAGCTCTTCTGTCAGAATGAAGCAACTGCAAGTCAAAATTGAGCTGTCTCCAACCTCTAAAGGGTTTTTGGATGTGTCATCATTTGGTCAACAGATGCAACCCTGCGTGCATATATGTGCGACTGTCTGCATTTTATAGATACTCTGATTTTGCTTTCTGCCGATTCATTAATTAAGTATTTTCCTTCCATTACCTAATTCTGCACTGAGGAGGCACTGCATTTTTATATAAAATAATAGACATTAAGAACAATAACACTGGAGTTTGCTCTTTCCTCCATGCGAGAAATATATTATTGTTTTTCAAGGATTTTCCTTTAGAAGCATGACTGCATGTGTTAGCACAGATGAGAGGTTTCATCTCAGTAAACAGGACAGTTAGCTCTCCTAACTGATTTTTTTCCCCTCAAGTTGACTTAACAAGTACATTGTGAGTCTTCACATATTTCAGTTTTCATGCAGGGAAATGACAATCAGGTTACAAAAGAGCTTTATTTATAATGTATAACTGACAAGTTCCTGCCTGGCTAAAACTTGGTGACTCAGTTATGCAAGCCCTGTAAAAGAATAGATTTGGGTATAAATACAAGTTTTGAAATGAGATCTTCTTTGCTGAAAAGAAGATCAGAAGCTGAAACCTGGAGACAGAAGGTAAGCCTGTTGTAAATTCAGAGGCCTTCTTTCGCTAACCATAGAAGCACTTTTCCTAATGCTGTTCACAGTGGTAATTCATTTGAATTTCTTTAACATTTGAAAATTCACATGCAGGAGAAGCAATATCTGGATTTGGTCCTAATTAGTACATTAAAACATCTAAGCAAACACCTATCAAATGAGTAACACCATAACTTGGGTTTCCTTTAATCATATAAGGCTATTAATGTTATTTTTCTCTTGGCATTCATGTTATTGGCATTAGTGGGATACAAGCATTTTATTTTTACATAGTTGTGATACATGTTTTATTTATTTGCAACTGATACACAGGGGCTGTGGCTACTAAAACAAAACTTATCAAAAGCCTGGAGCCAAATACTATTTGAGGTTGTAGGCCTGCAGTACAGAAACTGGTCAATGAAGAAGGATTGAATTGAATGCTCAGACACTGATCAAATTTATTTTAAAATGGAAAAAGAAAATCCTCCCACAGCAGAAAAAGTGGACCAAACATTTGGAATTAGGTTCTGTATAAGGATAAAAAGGCCAAACTTTATATACTACAATCAGGATAGAAATTTGGAGGGGATTAGTAAGTGCCTGTGAAAAATATAGGTCCTATTCTAGGATCTCTCAATTTTTCTGAGGAGAGATGCTATAAAAAGTTATATTCTGCAGAAAGTGGAGGAGGAGATCCTGGATTTGAAATCAGCAGGTCAGAAGCCATCCTGGCAGATTCCACTCACACAACGAGCTCTCTTGAAATGGGATTTCTATACCTCTGTTTTTTAATGAATTAAAACTGGGACTTGGTAAATCATATTAAAAAAAAAAAAAAAGAACAAAAGATCACATGGTAGGACTATAGCCAGAAGCAGTGGAGGAAGAAATGACAGATGAAGGTTCCAACAGGCCTGCTCACACCTCTTATCTTTTCACTCACTCATCTGTCTATAGAATAAAGTGTCCACTCGTCCTGCTTGCCTTAAGTTTCCAAAATCTGGCTCAGACTTAATGTTCAATCCTCATGTCCCTTTTTTCATGAATTTATACAAATGCTGACCACCAACTGAAATTCATGTCACTCACTTATCAAATGTCAATTTCTACTTCCAGATATAGCTGTAATATTCTCCTGAATGCATCAGACACTCACCTCTTTATGATTTTAGCACATAATCAGGCACTGCCACTGACTACTATGCTGTTTAAAGGCTTTTTATGTGAAAGTGGGGCTTCCCAAGTATCTCTTTTAAATATCTTATTCCTCAAACTAAGTTATATTCTTGTCTTGTAGCAGCAGTGGCAGTATAAATGACCACGATTTAAGGGATGGCTACAGGTCCAGCATTTCATGTATGTTATTTCTAATCCCTGTAACAGTCACTCACAGCTAGCTAGATCAGTGTTGCAGACCGGATCAGGCTGACCGAAAGCCCAAACTTTCCCTACTGTGCAATGCTATCACCATTGTCAAGGTCATAACTTAGAATGTCCTTGAAATTCAATGCACTGGGATTTGATTTGAAATAATTGCAATTAAAAAAAAGAGTTGTAGGAGATCATAAACTTTAACCTAGTAATTCCACATTTGGACACATATTTTAAGAAAACAGTAAGAGATGAAGATAAGCGTTAGTCTACAAAGACGGTTAATGCATCCTTGTGAGCATAAAACAAAAATGAATATAGAAGTGTAAGAGTAGGTGATTCATCAAAGTATGGTTCTTACACATTATGGAAATAAAATATATGCACACATTAAAATATATACTCTCAAATGATTTTTGATTGTATGACAAATGTGTGCATGCTTAGTCGTGCCTGACTCTTTGCAACTCTGTGGATTATAGCCTGCCAGGCTCCTCTGTCCATGGGGTTCTTCAGGAAAGAATACTGGAATGGGTTGCCATTTCCTTCCCCAGGGGATCTTCCCAACTCAGGGACTGAACCTGTGTCTTCCGCACCTCTTGCCCTGGCAGATGGATTCTTTCCCACTGCTACCTGAGAAGCTCTGGTATATGACAAACGCTTACATAGAAAACAGTATGGTACTCATTTTTCAAAAAGTATGGCACAATTGATTTAAAATTATGAAAAATAAATAAAGATAAAAAATTAGAAAAAGAACTGTAAGACAAAGCATAAGAAATAACCAAAGTATTTATAAAGGTGGGAATGTGGACTTATTTTATGTTCCTATACTCTTCTGTATTTGTAATGCTTATATTGTACATTTCTCACAGTGGGCATATATTACTCTGATAATTAAAACAAAAATACCTAAATACACATTACACTTAAAAACCCACACACATAAACTGTTAAAGCCCATGACCCCAAACCTTGATATTCAGGTATGTATGTACCCTTTTTTTCAAAAAATATCATTAAAGTATTGTTGACATTGGGCTTCCCTTGTTGCTCAGCTGGTAAAGAATCCTCCTGCAATGCAGGAGACCTGGGTTTGATCCCTGGGTTGGGAAGATCCCCTGGAGAAGGGAAAGGCTACTCACTCCAGTATTCTGGCCTGAAGAATTCCATGGACTATATAGTCCACAGGGGTGCAAAGAGTCGGACACGACTGATTGTTTACATTACTCAAACTACGTTTCACAATTTCTTTGTAGCTTGTAGCACATTCCTTAAATGTCTACAATAGTGATGAGCTTTGATTGTCTGAAATTGTTGGTTTTGTTGTTAGTTCTGGAAAAAGCCAAGTTGCATGCATCTTATGGCAGGGCTACCTGCTGAAGGAACCACCATCCATAAGAGAATGCACCAAAGCTGCAGGCTTTTCACCCTTAAGAGAGCTAACATACCACAGTTAACACACACGCACACAATGATCATCACAATCATTGTGTTAAGAACCACCATCATGGTGAGGTCTGGCCCACAGATGCATACCGTATTTTCAGAGTGTAATCGTCTCACCCTCATGAGATAAATACAGGCTTCCAGAGACTGACAGAAAATTTACTAAGTAATTACTCAGCAGCTCTGAAAGTGTGAGCTTCTTAAAGAAACATCCCACTTACTGTTGTTGGTTTTAACATATTTGATGAAAAAGATCCTATAAATGGACAAAGTGAGCATGCAAATGAGTTCTCAATAAACGAGCGTATGCTTTTCTTGTATAGCAACATACAAACATCTGCATAGTTGCAGGCAGACAGGTAATCTTGTTTTTCCAGAGTTCTTTCTCAACTATTCATAACACAGCAAATACAAGGTCTGAAGCATTTAAGTGCTCTGAGAAGCTAAAATAGATGCCATAAATCCATATCCCAAAGCTTTTTAATTCAAAAAGGAAACCAACCAAAACAAGGTAACTCCAAATTTAGCATATGCTCATACTATTTCAAAAATATACATCCACTTTAAGCCTTTTAAATCATATTTACTTTTACTTTGCGTATATTTTTAAACAACCTTGGTTACATAATTTCTCAGCCTAGTGCATATTAGAATCAACAAATTAGACAGAACACGTTGACAGCCTAGTAAATTCCAAGCACGTTGGCAGAAGCAAAAATGAGAAGTGAAGGCTCATTGATGGAGAAGAAGGAAAAACAAGCAGAACAACTTAAATAAGCTCAGTCTGGGGTCATTTAATGTAGAAGACACTGTTCTTATTGTATTTTGATAGGCTCTCTATTGCAGGTAAAAATGAAATGACTTATGTTTATTATAATGAATCATTACTGAGTCATTATTCAAAAGCCATCTTATACTCAGAGATATTGTTACTTTCATTCTTTTCATCATTCAGCTGACATTTATTGAGCCTGATTTATTTGCTCAGCCATGTGCAAGGCAACAAGGATATAAAGATAAAAAATTGGCAGTGGACTTCAAAACACTCCTGATTGGTAGGTGGAAACAGATACAAGGGAAAATATCTGTAATAGGCTGAGAGGAACAGAATATACCATACTGGAAATATATATAGAATGTTACAGGGGCCACCAGATAAGAGTTTGAAGATGCATACGATAAGGGAAAAATCATTCCCAGTCAAACAAACTTCAATTATTTAGAAAAGTCATTCTGTAATATGCTGCATTCCCAGGCTGCCAGATAAATAAGGCAACATTACTGTGTGTTACAGGGGTGACAAATGACAAATAAGGCTCATGAACTAAATCCCAGTGCTTTAGAGGAAGTTATGCAGGCAGCAGCATACAGGAAGGACATGCCATTCTTAGAGGCAGTTTATAATTTACACACGCAATTACACGTATACAGACGGAGCTGCGCGCATAATGGGCATTTAGGATGCAATCCAAGTGAGGGGCAACCCCATCTCCGAGTGTGCTCTCAGCATCCTTGACACAACTGTGTGAGTGATTATGTCAAGCGTGTTGAGTCTTCCGTCCTAAAGACTTCCCCACACATTCCCGTCCATTTCATTCCACTCCTCAGAAGCCCTCCAGATTCTCCTGTTCTCGCCAACCCATTTTAGCACTTAATCATAGGCTGCCTTATCTTGTCATTGAGTCACTCCATGTAGGCATTGTCTGTCTGCTCAGAGATCCTGGATCCTCGACGGGGAGGAACTGTTCCTGCTCCAGAGCTCCTCCTGTGTTTCCATCACTGAGCACACGGCTGAAGTACAAAGTAGTGCTACTCAGCAAGTACCTTTATGGATCTTATGGTGAAGATGAGACCTTACCACTACAGTAAATGAAGCCGCCAAAGCAATTTCCCCCAGGTAAGATTGCATTCAGCGTCTTAAAATACCCTAGCAGGTGACGTGTCCTCATAGCAGCAGATTGCATACCCAGCCTGTCTGTTTTTCAAGTCGATATGACACAGTGGCAAAGAGTCCGCCTGCCAGCGCAGGTGATGCAAGAGATGCTGGTTCGATCCCTGGGTCGGGACAACCCCCTGGAGGAGGAAATGGCAACCCACTCCAGTATTCTTGCCTGGAGAATCCCATGGACAGAGGAGCCTGGTGGGCTACAGTCCACGGGGTTGCAGGGAGTCAGACACGACTGACAGAGCACACACACACACACACATTTACTTATCTATTTATTATGACTATTAATTATTACTGCAAAGACTAATGAGTGATTCTTGCTACCAGGAAGATGCAAATAACAGGAGCAGCTCTTCTCTTATCATTATAAACGGGCCTGCAGTGATGGTTAATGGATCCTTGAAAATAAAGCTGATTGCTGGTGGTCTTTACTTAAGCTCAAAAGAAAGATTTGTGTTCCTGGCAGAACCATGTCCTTCCTGCGTCAGACGACCATTCATAATCTGACTGCAGATCTAGACTGTGACTAATATTTGGCTCTAATATTATAGGTGGTTACTGTGGAGGGAATCAGTAAGGACATAATTGTCACTTCCTTGGAAAAATTTAATCCACAGATGGATCCCAACACCCAACTGTACTGGTGTCCAACTGCATTGGAGATTTTTATTTTGTTGCTAAATAAGGACTGATTCAGCCAAAAAGATATACTCTGAGAGAAATCTATATCACATACTCGCTCCAAAAAAGTACATTTATCCAAACACTGAATGGTTTGGAACACTAGAATTTTCCTAATAGGGACATAGTGAAAGGCTCATTCATTTAATCACATTTATATTTTTCTTATAAGATGAAGCAATAGAGTTAATCAATGCTTCCCTGCATTTATAAAGTTTCAGTCATAAACAAAATTTAATTCTTCATGTTTCCTTATTTAGCTAAATAATTAAGGGAAACAGTCTATTCAGATTGGGAATCTTCTTGTTAAAACAATCAACCTTTCTCTAATTTTTGGCTTCAATAAATAAGCCTTGATGCATATCATTCCATGGGAGGTGAAAGTGACATTGGTAAGAAGGACTAGGATACATGTATTTATTTGCAATTTATTTCCCATCAGTAAATTTATACAAACAGCCATCATCTGATAACTGCATTCATTTTTTAAAAAAGATTTTTCTGATCATATGAAACCATCCTGATCTGTGGTGCATTCAGTTTACTTAGAGTAGCATATTAAAGTAAAACCATTTCAATCGTAATTCAGAGAAATGGTATCCCTTTCTGGGTGACTGGTTTTCAGAAAGAGCTCATTACCTGGAAATAAGTGTTGGATTTTTGTGGTTTGGAAAATCCTTAGCCATCTACAGATGCATAGATTGAATCACAGTAACAGAAGAGATCATCTATAAACGATGAATTTCCTCTTTCCATTTAGGTTTAATATGCTTTGAAGGGTTCACGGGGCCTCTCCGGTCCAATCCAGAAATGCAGGAGGAAACCCGTCTCAGAGGCAGCTCACTGCAGCTCAGGGAGCCACCGCGTCCTTTGTCCACTGGTCATGCGGACAGCTTGTCTGTCTCCAGGTTCTTTCAGCTTTAGGCTACAGCCTGGCTTCCTATACATCCACCCCGTTGGCACAGTTAATGCAAATGGCCTATAAATAGCACTTGGCCTCACACAGGTTAAATGAGACCTCCGTCGTGTGAACCATGATTCCCACGGAGAGGGCTTTAAAAGGCAAGACAGTTGGGAGCAGGGCTTGAACCACTGTACCATCGCCACAAGCGGAATGAAACAGCCAGGCGCTTGGCTGTCAGTCACACCGCCCGCACCACCTGTTCCAGCCCCTTTTAACGTCAGTGTCTTGGGACAGTGACTAGGAAGAGCGGCACGCTGGCCGAGGCAGGATTCAGAGGGAGCCGGGAAGCCCAAGCGCACGTCACCAGCACCTCCTAGGGGCCGGGCGCGCGAAGGAGGCTCAGCGGTGGGTCCCGGCGCGAACCCCGGTTCCCGGTCGGTTTCACTCTCGCGCTCGCGCACAGCCACCCCGGCGGTACCGCCCGGAAAGGCGAGCTAGAGTGTGGAAGTAGTTTGGCGTTTCTAGGAGGCCTTGGAGAGGTTTAAACTGCGCGGAGGACGCCTTCGATCGCTTGAGGAAATAAACATTCACCACACACACACACACACACACACACACACACACAGAGGGATGGCAAACTCGGTGTAAGGAGGATTCTTAAGTATTCTAAGAGCAAAGCTTCGTGATGACACCGAAATGCTTAGGCGTGCGCGGCTCCGCAGTGTACACACACACACTCACAGTGTTCCAGGGTCCACGCCCGTTTCACACTGCGTTTGACAGCGTTTGTGAAAGGGTCTCCTTTGCCCTCGCCCGGTTGCTGGGCGGGAGGGCTGGGAGGCGCCGGCGCGCGGCAGCGCTGAGCGCCCGTAGGAGTTGCCGTTGCAGAGAATCCGGGAGTCTAACTGCTCTGGGCTTAGATCAGCAGAGCGTGGCGGGCGCGCTGGTGGAGACCGGGATTGAGGGCGGACCCCGCGGCAGGGAACGGGCCGTTCACCCTCCCGAGCAGCCCCGGCTCTCTGTAAGTAACTCGCCCCCAAGTCGGGAGAGGGAAGGGCCGGGCGGCCCGGGCGCGCGTCGGCCCCCGGCCGGGCTCTGCGCGCCGCTCGCGGTCCCTTTCCGCGTTGCATCGGCGGCTCCTCCTCGCCCCGCTGGTTCAGCCCGGGATTCGGGGGGCGGGAAGGATCGCAGGGTGGGGGGGGGGGGAGTTGCCGCGGGTAGGTGGGAAGGGGAGAGGAAGACGCGCCCCCAGCTGACAGGCAAGCTTCGCAGGCGGCCGCCGGGCGGCCGGGACACCGGTCCTCCGCGAGCCCCTGGGGGCGCGCGCCCGGCCCCGCCGCCGCCGAGGACAGGAAGGGGCCAGCGTGGGGCTGGCCTCAGGGTGGGAAGCTCTGCCCACTGGCCGGGCTGCAATTAGGCCGCCGCCGGAGCCGGGCCGCGGGCGTCCCACCTGCTGCGGGCCCGGCCGGGCGCGGTCCCCGGCGGCCGGGCTCAGGGGGCGCGCGGGGCGGGAGCGGCGGCAGGTTCTCGCGCCGGCCGCGCGGGCCCCGCGGGCGCAGCATCCTCCCCCCAGCGCGGTCCCCGCGGGGCCGGGAGCGCGGCGATTGGCCGGCGCGGCCGGGGGCGGGGCCGGGCGGCCCGGTGCCTCGCGGACGCCTCAAAAGAGCCCAGGAAAGCGCAGAGCGCACTGGAGACCCGGCCCGCGCGCAGCCCGCCCCGGCGCCGGCCCGCTGGGTCTTGGAATTGCTGGTTCGCTTTGGCTCCCTCGCTTGTACAAACTCCTGGATCTCACATGCCTCTGTAACCCCCCCACTTCCACTCCATGTCCCCATGCTCCTGCGCCAGCAACAGGTAAGGGCTGCTGTGTGTTTTCTTACCCGCTTTGCTCTCCTTGCCTGTGGGTCCCGGGGAGAGGACTCGGGCTTCGGTCCCCGACCCCGCCCGGGCCGGCCGCCCCAGAGGTGCCCAGCTGTCAGGCGGCCTTTAGCGCTCCCCCACGCGCCGGAGTCCCAGAGCCTGCCTATAGAGTTTGTGTGCGCACCAGAACATCCTCAGAGCTAAAAATACGGAGACATGCTTGGAACAGTTGAGCAATAGAAACATTTCTCTGCAGCATCTGTTTGTGCTCATAACTTCCAGTGCACCAGCTGGAGCGAGATACTCAGTTGGGAGACCCGGGCGAGGGAGCCTGTGTTCGGTTCTGTCTCTCAGGAGGAAAAAAAGAAAAAAAAAGGGCCGTGGCTGCGTCTAGAATACCGGTCTCAAACCTTGGCAAACCTTGGGACTCAGAGCCGGTCTCGATCGTTGGCGTCTTTCCTCCCCACCGCCTCTGTCATTGCTTCAAGTGTAGCTTGAGTTCCAGACCCAGCGAGCTTCTCTCAAAGTTGCTTTGCTGGGGAAGAGAACCGGAGCTCGCGCTGGATCTGAGCCCTAAGATCGTGAAACTTGCACACCTCCCCTAAGCAGCTTTCTCTTCTTTGGAATAATCACGTTAATCCTGAAATTTGAAGACGGTGAGGTTTCAGGGAAGCACGGTGGTCGAAACGACTTGATTCTGCAAAGGATTGCATCATAACAGAGAGTCATCATGACAGTTGGAAAAAAAAAATCGAGATAGGAAGTGGGCAGTTTATTGTCTGTGTCTGGGCGATCCTGTCAGCAGGGTAACTAAGATGCGGCTGTGAATCCTGGGATTTCTATTAACCAAGAATTTACCTTTTAGGAAATCAGGCCTGATTTGAAAGCCTGTTTTGGGTATGCAAAGAATGTACATTGCTTTGTACCACTTGCTTTCATTCCCTGTTAGTGATCGGTAGGCTGTCAGATTTTCTCCCACTAAGGACTGCTGTATGCCTGCTTTGTGTTACCTGTATGCTTGCTAGCTTTTTCCTGCTCACTTCCACACCCTGCTCCAAGTGTTTTATTATTTGTCATGATCCAGGAAAATCCCCAGGCTGAGGAATTAAGTAAGAGAGGTGACTTTAAGGAAGGCGGGAGGGGTCAGAGTTGGGGTCAAGGTTATGTCCTTTTGCTTTCATTCCCTCCCCTCCCCCTGCTGGCGCCTCCTTTTTATGTTATTGCTCTCCATAGGGATATTTGTTCTGAGCTCTTGTAAACTGACCTTAAACAAATAGCATGGGGTATTTCTGCTTCCTTCTACTTCCTTCTACTTCCTTGAGACCTTCCGTCTGCCCAATCCTTGTCGGAGTCCTCGCATGACATTTTGAGTAGCATAAGACCAACCATGTCTTTCCCTGGATAGAAGGACAGTTTCAAGCTTTTTCTTTTTCTTTTTTTAATGTTTATTTTTGTTTGCTATAGAGGCATATAGTTCAGCATGTGCGCATACCAAGTGATGCTGTATGCCTTGTTGAGTGTGAAAGATGTGGGGCTCCCAGAGGTGAGTGGGTGCCTCTCCTCTCCAAGCGCCTCCCCCCCCCTTCTGTTTACTGAGCTTCTGGGAGGTTGCTTTGCCAGCCTTGAGCTCTCGTAGCAACCGATGCCCAGAGCACACTCAGGCTGGTCTATATGGCGTCAGCTGGGGAATAGCTGCTCCAAACACTCATTAGCCGACCTCTCCTTCAGTCCTTCTGCCGTCCCTGTTTCCTCTCCTTACTCAGAAACTTTCTTATCCACTCCACACCAGGACCATGAGAGGGGCCCACTTATTCTCATTTAGTCTTCCAGGTGAGCATGTCTCTGTTCTTGGATGATCCTTCCTGGGAATATCTTGGTGATGGTAAAAATGATCTGGATACATTCACTTACACTGCGTTATCTCCTTGGCCTCATCTCTGTCTCCAGCTCTCCTCCTTTAACATCTACCTTGAGATGGAAGCCCTGAACTATTTTTTTTCCACTGCTTATGCTTAATTTGGGCTCAGCCTATAAATAGTCTTAACATGAAGAGCAGCACATGTAACCTCTCCATTTCCCAGAAATACTTTCTTTCTCATTGGTTATGCCCTGGGTAAAAAGGATTGTTTGCGTCTATTAAGTTTATTTCAGGCCCTTACATGTTCTGGCTGAAAATGGGGGCGTTTGCACATTGTTCATCAAATAACATGTGAATTCTCCCGAGCTGTGCCCCTCAAGGAGGGCAGTCACTGCGGGTTTTCATTAGTTCTTAATCAGATGATTCTCAAGAATTTACTTATAATGTGGCCCTAAAATGAAGTTGCATGAAAGCCCTATACCTAATTAAAGTGTTTTCCCAGATGCTCATGAATTGGTGATTTTCAGTGTGAGAAGTGCAGGCAAGGAAGTTTTCTGCTTGCCTGCAGCCACTCAGGCAAGTGGGCAGGTTAATAGGAAAGACAGTCTTCAGAGTGGAATATTAAGACAGTTATCCTATCAGACTTTGGCAGCGTCTCAGCTTTTGCTGTATCATCAGCTCCACCAAAGTCTGAATACGCATCATGTGTGCGCACATATACACACATGAATCTGTTTTGGAACGTATCTGCTGGAGGTGACAAAAGTTTCCATTTTGCCAAAAAAATCTTTCTTTCCCCCCCCCCCCCTTTCCAGGCAGAAATGGTAAAATTTCTAAATGATGCTCCGCATATGGAACAAATTCTGTCATTAGCAATGGAAATAAGACAATAATAGTCGCTCAATACAGGCTCTCTTCAAGATTCTAAATGCGGAAAGCTATTCATTCGTAGGAAGCTGGTCGTGTGTGTTTTGTGGAATTCAGACGAATGTCCTGGGGTCAAGATTTTTAGAAAGTCCTACTTCAGTCTTTAGATGTCATATGACTGTTATGCTTTAATCTGGAAAGAGAGCAGAAATAAGTCAGAAGAAATCTGAGACTGTCTACTCTTGGTCCCTAATAGTAACTCGGGTGGAAGGATTGTTTTGAATCATGAAAAGGGAATTTCTTGGTGTCAGCTTATAAGATCCTGAAGTCAGTCAGAACTCACACTATTTAAATGAGGCCTCCCCTGTCCCCGTTTCTTGGAACATGCACCTGCATTTGGTGTCATATTATTATCTCTAATTGTGCACGTGTGTGTGTGTGTGTGTGTGTGTGTTTGTATAAGGGCTCAGCAATTTCATGAGCCAAATGAGCTGAAATCTCTGTTTACAAAAAATCTTTCTGTGTCCAGGGTCTAGAACCCTGAGGAATCAGTCTTGTTTCTTTCGTCCAAGTGCAAACTTCATGGGAAGCAGACAAAACACTGAAGCAGGTGGAAGGGTGAGAAGACACAGCACCTTCTTTTTATAAAGTAATTCAAAGGCAGTTTCAAATCGGGCATCATTTAGGTGTCAAAAGCTGCCAAAATGTAACACACATTGCAATTTTCACAGATGACTAATCTCAGGAAAAATGTGTTGGGGCACATTCTTGCATAATAACTTGGATAAAGAGGCAGAAGTGAAAAGACTATAACAAGTCATTTTCAAAGACAATACACCTTGCCTTCTTACTCAGGGGGTGCGTGAAAACAGGTCAGTGATTTGCTGTCTTTGCAGCTGGTCTGGTTGCACATGGTTCTGTTAACTGCTTAATCTGAGTGCGGTTAGGGGGAGAAAGAAAAAGTGTGTCCTTGTCATCAGGGCGTCGACGAATATCTGATCCTGTCTATCTGCTGTTCACTGTCCCCCTTGAATCCAGGAGACAGCTTTGGTGGTTTGAAAGTCAAGCATCCCTCCTATTTTTCATTTCCCTGCTGTGTTCGTTTTTTAACTTATATTTGGTTGCCAAAACACCCTAGACTTTCTCCCAGCCTTTTGCAAATCAAGGAAAAATGATATCCTTTGGAGCAAACATGGAAAGTCAAAAGTCAGTAGATGATTTTTAACTACAGGGGCAGAGGTGCAGCGGGCGTGAGATGAGCAGAGAGGGGAAAACTGAGAACCGCTGTTTATTTGTTTGCATTAAGTGAAGGTGAGCACCTTCTCTGCAGGAACAGAGGTCAGAAAGCCGAGCTGCAAATGCGAGTGAGCTGAGGGGGCCTGTGACTTACCGCTGCAGAGCTGTCTGTGTTTAGGAACGCACAGACTTAGACTCCCGTGAAATGAGTCCCAGCCTCATCCCAGTCCACGGAAGATCTGATCCTTGAGCACAAAGGTGCTCACTTCCTCCCCTGTCTTTACACACGGCAATCCCATCTCCAGAGAATTTCAGGTCTCTCATTGCTAAGCAACAGGATCACTCTGTATCCCCCAGAGTGAGCCTGCATCTTCAAGTCCGAATCACTTGCAGGAACAGAGATGTTATCAGGAGTTTCTGCCGCTTTCGGGGGCTGCTGTCGGCATGTGACGTGATGGAATAAGCCCAAAAGGTCTCCAGAAACCCGCATCCCTTTCAGATGATTGTAAGGGCTGTCTGCTCAGTTATCTGTTAAATGAACTAGTCAACGCTTTTGGATTTCAGCCTTGTCGTTGAGGGCTGTCATATTCTTCCACAATGCACCTGCTACTCGATGAATATGAGCATTCTGCATTCGTGTGAAATGTTCTCTGACATGTCCGAGTTCTTAAAGCTTCATGGCAAACCTGGAAGTTAGAAAAGTCTTTCTTCTGCTTTATCACCAGGGACCCCAGCAAGTAGAGAAGGCAAATGAAGATCATAAGAAGAGACAGGTGGATCTGTAAAGTAGAATATTCTAGATTCTAGAACAGGAACAGGAATCTGAGACTTTGGATGAGGGGAAGGGATAATTAGGAATGGATGGATATGTGCACACTGCTATATTTAAAATGGACAACCAACAAAAATCTGCTGTCCAGCACAGGGAACTCTGCTCAATGTCCTGTGGCAGCCTGGATGGGAGGGGAGTTGGGAGGAGAATGGACACGTTTGTGTGTGTCTGAGTCCCTTCACTGCTCACCTGAAGCTGTCACAACATTGTCAATCAGCTGTACGCCAATGTAAAATTTAAAAGTTAAAAAAAAAAAAAAACACTGTCATGAACAACTATCTCTTCTGTGTCTAGCGACGTCGTGTTTTTAAGTAACATAAGAATATATTTTCGTTCTATTTTTTTCAGTTGAGTTCAGTCGCTCGGTCGTGTCTGACTCTTTGCGACCCCGTGAATTGCAGCACACCAGGCCTCCCTGTCCATCACCCACTCCCAGAGTTTACTCAAACCCATGTCCATCAAGTCGGTGATGCCATCCAGCCATCTCATCCTCTGTCGTCCCCTTCTCCTCCTGCCCCCAATCCCTCCCAGCATCAGGGTCTTTTCCAAAGAGTCAGCTCTTCGAATCAGGTGGCCAAAGTGTTGGAGTTTCAGCTTCAGCATCAGTCCTTCCAGTGAACACCCAGGACTGATCTCCTTTAGGATGGACTGGTTGGATCTCCTTGCAGTCCAAGGGACTCTCAAGAATCTTCTCCAACACCACAGTTCAAAAGCATCAATTCTTTGGCGCTCAGCTTTCTTCACAGTCCAACTCTCACATCCATACACGACCACTGGAAAAACCATAGCCTTGACCAGATTGACCTTTAGGGCTACACAAAGAAATGAAAACCCAAGTAATTCAGCATAAAGGACATTTATGTGTATCTGTCTCTGTTTCTGGCTAGGAACTGTTGCATTAGAGAGTATAACCCTTTCCTAATGAACTTCGTTTGTAATAAAAGATCTCTCTCTTTTTTGCAGGACCTGTTCTCTGGATGTCAGCTGAGTTACTAAAGTGACTCTGCATGTCAAGAGACAGACCTTGGTAGACAGAACCTCAAGGCCCCTGGAGACCCCATCCCTCCTTCTTTTTTTGTGTGTGTGGGTCCTCACTGAACATTCAAACCTGTTTCTCCAAAGGGTTTTGCAAAAACTGAGACTGTTTCCCAAAGCAGAAGCGCTGGCGTCGGCAGCAGAAGCGATGGGCAGCGTGCGCACGAACCGCTACAGCATCGTGTCTTCGGAGGAGGACGGCATGAAGCTGGCCACGCTGGCGGTGGCCAACGGCTTCGGGAACGGCAAGAGCAAAGTCCACACGCGGCAGCAGTGCAGAAGTCGCTTCGTGAAGAAGGACGGACACTGCAACGTGCAGTTCGTCAACGTGGGCGAGAAGGGCCAGCGGTACCTGGCCGACATCTTCACCACGTGCGTGGACATCCGCTGGCGCTGGATGCTGCTCATCTTCTGCCTGGCTTTCGTGCTCTCCTGGCTCTTCTTTGGCTGTGTGTTTTGGCTGATTGCACTGCTCCACGGGGACCTGGACGCGTCCAAGGAGAGCAAAGCCTGCGTGTCCGAGGTCAACAGCTTCACGGCCGCCTTCCTTTTCTCCATCGAGACGCAGACCACCATCGGCTACGGCTTCCGCTGTGTCACAGACGAGTGCCCCGTGGCCGTCTTCATGGTGGTCTTCCAGTCCATCGTGGGCTGCATCATCGACGCCTTCATCATCGGCGCCGTAATGGCCAAGATGGCCAAGCCCAAGAAGAGAAACGAGACGCTGGTCTTCAGCCACAATGCCGTGATCGCCATGAGGGATGGCAAGCTCTGCCTCATGTGGCGGGTGGGCAACCTCCGGAAGAGCCACTTGGTGGAAGCGCACGTGCGCGCACAGCTCCTCAAGTCCAGAATCACCTCCGAGGGGGAGTACATCCCCCTGGATCAGATAGACATCAACGTGGGCTTCGACAGCGGCATCGACCGCATATTTCTGGTGTCTCCCATCACCATCGTCCACGAGATCGACGAGGACAGCCCTCTGTATGATCTGAGCAAGCAGGATATCGACAACGCAGACTTTGAGATCGTGGTCATCCTCGAGGGGATGGTGGAGGCCACGGCCATGACCACGCAGTGCCGGAGCTCGTACCTGGCCAACGAGATCCTCTGGGGTCACCGCTACGAGCCGGTCCTCTTTGAGGAGAAACACTACTACAAAGTGGACTACTCCAGGTTCCACAAGACTTACGAAGTCCCCAACACGCCCCTGTGCAGTGCTAGGGACTTGGCGGAGAAGAAGTACATCCTGTCGAACGCTAACTCGTTTTGCTATGAAAATGAGGTCGCCCTCACAAGCAAAGAGGAAGACGACAGTGAAAACGGGGTTCCCGAGAGCACAAGCACAGACACGCCCCCGGACATAGACCTGCACAACCAGGCCAGCGTACCTCTAGAGCCCAGGCCACTGCGGCGGGAGTCGGAGATATGACTGAGTCCTCCTGGGGAGTGGTTCCTTTGAAACACGGTCTGTTGGTCAAAGGCCCAAAACAGTTACGCAGACGACGGTACCAGGGCCAGGTGGTTTGAGGCAAGTGACCGCAGGGACAGGGGCGAGCACAGTGGTTTTAGAGAAAGACTGTAAGCCCGAAGATGAACCTAAAGCACTAAACAGGCCTCCCCGTGACCCGAAGGCACATAACACGTTGTAGAATAAGTTATGGGGTGTTTGTGTTTGTGTTTTGTGTTTTGAACCAAACTTGAACTTGCAGGCAAGCCTTGGTTGGTGGGGTGTTTGACTTCTCCAGAATGCTTCTCTCTAGGGAACAAGAATGTTTTTAAATGGCATCACATTTTTCAATGTTTTAAAGGCAAGACTCTGCCTTAACTTTTGAAAAGCTGCTAACTACACCAACACACTTTGTATTGTTGCAGTGTAGTTTTTTTTTTTTTTCCTCTTGTGTGTAATTTAAAAAGTCAGTGTTGAACTTTGTTGAAAGCTCATGATGTGCGCTTCAAAGTGGCAAATATTTGGCTATTAGCTGCCAAACGAGAGCCTGATTTTCTGAGGCCAGTAATTTGTTTGCTAGGATTGATTCTCTCTCTCCCTCTTGTGCTTTCTGTCTGTCTCTCTCTGGTTACATAAGGGCATTATGTAACACTAGCCAAATGGTAGCCTCCGGGTTGTTGTTAATGTTTTATTTTTTTTTTTCTTTCCAAGATGTTAATGGGTTATCTCAAATTTTAAGTTAGACTACCTAAAATAAATACCAAAGATAATGCACATTTTTGCACAGTGGAGCTTACACTAAAAGGGAAAGAAAGCCCCACGGCTGCCTTGAAATCAAGAGACAAGAACTTTGAACCTCAGCAAGACCTTGAACTACCCTCTCATTTTGCACCTTATTCAGAAAATAGAACATCACACACACAGTTGACTAAAGTGTGGTGCTTTTAATTTTTTGTTCTTTCATGTAAGTTTCATGTCAGAGGAAGAAGACAGGGGGAAGTGAAATTCACACACACACACACACACACACACACACACACACACAAAAGACAGAAGCAACTTTCCTTTCCTTCGAGGTGGTGCTGGCCAGGCGAATGCATACTTTGAGAGATGATGATGACCCTTAGATTTTTTTTTTCCTCCCCTGGATTTTTCCATGTTTTGCACATTCCAAAATTTATCCCAGAAGATAAGACCTAGGTTGACATGAGTTGGCATCCTCCACACTGAGCCATCCAACTCGAAAGATCAGTAGGTTTAAACCTTAGGGCTGAATTCCTTGCCCTGATGGTGGGTGCATCTCTGACTTGACTTCATTTTCTAAAAGATGCCACGCCTGGCCTGTGGGCTGGTTCTTCCCATTAGACTGTTTGGACCAAGTCCTCCAACATCTGAGAGGGTTGTGAATGCCCCAGTGAGAAGGTAGCAAGATGTGGAAGAGCCATTTTGATGTAGCTCATCAACTCAAGTCTTTAGGAGGAAGGGGAACATTGCTTTTTTTTTTTTTTTAATGATAGAGAGCAGGAATGAAAATGTCTCAGTATTTTAGGGTCAACAAGGGCCATAACAATCCTAACAGCATCACAAGTAAAGGAAATAATGATCTAAAAGTGTCCTTCCCCCCCCCCCCCCACCCCCGGTGGATCCACACTCGTCTTTGAATCCGAGTGGATCCCTTTTGTCTGTGGAGACCTGGAGCCTGTTACTTGGGGCACATCGTTTCCCAGAAGCTTCTCCTGCCTGGCTGCCTGCCTCACTAGGAACATTTTGTTTGGTTTGGTTTTCCGCTCTAGCTTGATATGACAGAACTCTGTTTTGGTTTAAGGTTCCTTATTTGTGAATTCTGGGGTCACTGATTTTTTTTCTTTTTCAATGGGAGTCTCAAAATCAACTCTCTTTACGGTATTACACCCCTGTATGCCATTAAAAAACAGCTTGTTCTAGAATCCTGTGTTTCATCAGCCCGTGTCTGGGATGGTCTCTGGTTCCTGACCAGCCATATCTGCATGGGGTGCCTGCAGTCACAGGACAGTCTCTGCTCTTGTCCGCCTTTCGAGTCAGTGGGTTTGAACCCTGTGCAGTTATTTGCATGGAAATCAGGTTAGAGCTATCAGGCGAGGGGATAATATTTGAAGTCCAGACTTACAGGCCGATGGAGAAGTTGTGTAGAGTTGGAGGACTTGGGGTGGAGTGGACACAGCATGTACAGTCTCCTGTACACGCGACCGTCCTGCCATTGACAGGGAGAGGGTGTTGAGCATTTCAGCTGCTGCTATTCCGATATTTTTGCAAAGGACAATAATCAAACCAAAGAGTATTCCGTGATCTGTAAATTACATGAAGAAACAGTGGAGGATGGGGGTGGCCACGGCGAAGGCACCCTCTGGTCACACAGTGCTGCCACTTAAAAAGACTTGAGGTATTTGCAACGGGGGTGGGTGGAGGGGGGCAAGAATGAGGGAGGGAACTCTTGCAACTTCTTTCTGAAAAAGAGAAAAAAAATTAAAATTTCTGGTGCACAGGTTTGTTTTTTTTTTTTTCAAGAAAATTTTGCAGAAGCTATGTTTTTAAAGTGTACATTTTATAAAGTTTATCAGATATTTTCATATTTAAAGCCAAATGTAAATAGAAGTCTGTAAGGGGAAGAAAATTGCCATAGAAAGTATAATTTCAGTGCAGCAATTTCTGAGAGCTAGTACCTATATGCTACCGGTTAGCATGGTTTTAGCAAATATCTACCAGCCTTATAAGGTTTGTCTTGCTATGTTCTCCTGTTATTTATTTCAGCATGGACTGTTCATTTGAAAACTTTTCCTAGTTATTAGTATTTTAACAGTTACAAGCTTTAAATGGCAATTTTTGTGGGTTTTTTTTTTTTTTTTTTGGTTAAGAGCCAAGACACAGTAATGCACAATGGTGTTTTTTTGTGTGTTTTTTTTTTTGTTTTTGTTTTTTGGGTTTTTTTTTTTTTTTTTTTTTTTTGCTGCATTTTACCTTTAAAACCCTGGTCTTTACTGCCTGGGTCTCCTTACTTAGTGCACAGGTGTCGTGGGAACACAGACTGAAGAAACTCACAGAGTATCTGGGGTCTGTTGCCAGATTCATGTTGCTTCTCTGTTGCAAGCAAACCCCCACTGAGTTTATTTAGGAATTATCCCCTTTTGAAGAATCTGTGCCCGTAACTGGATGGGCTTTATATTTTTGGGAGGAGGTTTAGATTCCTGGTTATCCTATTTTTAAATAAAAGGTAGACAAAGTGAATTCTATTTTGATTATTGAGAAAGGAATATTAATAGTTTTCTATCCCTCTAAGATTATACTTGAATCAGACATTTTAAGGATGTCACCATAACTCTGAAGTCATTTCCAAATTCCTGATGACAGTTTGTTCAGTTTGTTTTACTTTTTTTAAAAATTCTATCAGTGCATTATTCCTCCCTTCCCTTCCTTTCTTCCCTGTCAACTCCCATCTCAAACCTTGATGTTTATTCAGTGCATTTTGTCCCCTGAATCTTGTTACCCTGGCAAAAAAAAAAAACAAGTGTCGGTTCATATTTGATGATAAGCCACACAGTAAAAGCAAAAAGCTTGTTCTGAGAAGCAGAGTGGATTTTTTTTTCACTCTGTATCTAGTAAAGTTAAGGTTTAAGAAAAAAAAAAAAAAAAGTGTTGCCTAGTCCCTTGCTCCCAACTAGAATCCCTTTTCTAGTTATGTTGGGTTTCAAGCTCTGGGCTGCGGTGAACTGAACAACCCCAGTCTTTGACAATCCTGAGTTATTATCTTCCCGTTTCCTGTCTTTTTGTATCTGAAGTCTTCCTAATGTACTGCACAAACCATGGATTGTACATATTTTTATATATTATGTCTTATTTTATTATTTCTAAATAAAAAGTTAAAAATTGAAAACAAATCAGTGCAAGAGATTTTTGGGCTGTCTGTGTGATTCCTGTAGCATCTCAGATAGAAACCAAGGGTTCCCAAATGAGAGGACATAAACCCGGATAGGTGGGATGAATGGGACCATAGAAATCTCCAGAACAGGCATGGTGCAGTGGCAGGTTACCTTAATCCTGGTAGGAGGAAGTCAGGCTCAGATTTCATTTGTGGACAGAATGCCCCAGGTGGAGAGAAGAGAGAGAGAACCAAAAACAAGCAAACAAAAATAACAGGAACTACCGAATAGAAGGCTTAGACTTTAGGTCTCTGTAATGATAAAAGTTACTTCGTTGAGCTTAACTCTGTGTAGGGTACAGCTTTATATTAGCTCATTTCCCCAAAACCAAATCAGGTTATTACATTCTCGTATAATAAATCAGAGCAGGCAAACATGTCCCATGAAAGGCCGGATAGTAAACATGTTTGGCTTTGTGAAACAGTTCTTTGTCTCAACCATGCAGCTCTGCCCTCAAACTACAAAAGCAGCCACAGATAATATGAAAAAAAAAAGGTGCAGCTGTATGACAATAGAACTTTACTTATAACTACAGGTGGTGGGCCAGACTTGGCCCATGGCCTATAATTTATTGACCTCTGTTATAGATGAAGAAACCAAGTCTGGATTTTAAAGCTAATGAATCATTGAGCTGATACTCAAATGCAGGTTTTATCTGCCTCTAAATTTCATTTAATCCACTAGGCTCTATGGTGTTTTCGAGTACATAGTTACCAAGGATATGTGGGTCTCAGAGAAAACATCAATTCCCCTGGCAGATTTTGAATAGCTTAACTGGTTTTCACTGGTGGAAACATTGAGGAAAATCTCCATTCTGAAATATGGGTTGCTCCTTAAAATTTTTCCTTTAATAAATACTCGATATTTTTCCTTTTAACAAATATTTTTCCTTCAATAAAGTCCTTACTGTGATTCAAAATGGTTCTAAGCTCTTCATGAGCATTAAATAACTTGATGTTAGTGGAGTCTGCACTATTATTGTCCTTATTTAATAAATGAGGCTACTAAGACTCAGGGAGGTTGAGTGTC